CACACACATATATATATTTATGCCAAGTCTGACTGACCTAATCCTTCGAACAAGCATAGTTCAAAATTCTCATGGATTAAAACTAAATCATAGTGAATAATGGTAAAAATACCAAATTTCAGAACTAGATTCACCTTAATCTAGAAAGACAAAACATTACTACTTACCTGATTCCATTCACTCAAACGTCAGTCGCATGGAGAACTTTATTGTGGATGAAATTCTGCATTATTTGCATAAAAAAACAGTCACGATAGAGGCCAGAGACTAAGCAACTGTAGGTCAAACATGTGCGTCAAAAATATGTTCACACAAGGCAATACACAGCTGGTTTTCCTCCGTCTTCTATCACCGGATCCGAAATTCACCTGGATATTAATACCTAGTTCGTGTTTCTCTATGTAATCACGGTAATTGGTTCAACAAACAACAGACTGAAGAAAGGTAAGACTAAAGAAAGTAGGAAAAGGAAACTAGATAGATAAAAGGTTTTCACAAGGTAGATATTTCGTATCCCGAAATACACGAACCACTGCAGACACTTTAGGATACAAAAGACAAACAAACAGACAAAAACCACACATAAATATATAAAATAATACAAATGGAAAATATGTACAAGCAAAAATCAGTAAATAGTCCAGTTGCAGAAGATGTGTTGCAGCAGTCAGGTGGTGACATGTAGAGCAGCAGCAGCAGGTGTTTCCTCAACATGAGCACGAAAAGAGATGTTCCTAAGCCTAAGTGCATACGCTGACGTCAGAGATTGTTGTTGCGCATGTGTCTGGAAGTACTTCTTGTCCCAAGCATGACCCACCTAGAGCTAAAGGTCTACAACAGACCAACGAGGGAGAATATCCCACGTATCTTAGATAAACACCCCACTTCCTCAAGCTAACCACACATCCCCTCAAGATTAGTATCTTCTTAGTTTTCTCTCTTCTTCTTCTTCTTAGCTTTCTCTCATTTCTATTCGGGGTCGCCGTTAGGGATGAGCCGCCTCCACTGATTTTCCCATTACGGCTCCTTCCACATTGGTTTTGGCGTGGGTTTTTCACAGTCGGATGCCCTTCCTGACACCATCCCTCTCTATTTATCCGGGCTTGGGACCGGCACCCAAAAAGCCTAGCTCCCCCCCCTCCCACAGGTGGCTTTTACAACGGGCAATCAAACTAAAGTTCCTTGCCTCAGGGAACAGTAGTATGAAAGTAGTAGTATGAAAATAATAGCTCGAATCCAAAGAAGACCCTCACCTGACGACGATCCTGTTGTACTCCCGAGACCAGGCCCTGTGGACGTCGATGATGCCGGGCGGGATGTGGCCGAGGAGGTGCACGAGCTCCCCTGCCGCCTCGGCCTTGGCCAGCTGGTCCTCGAGCCAGGCGAGCTCCCCCGCGGGGTCGTTTGAGGTCTGCACCAGCCAGCTTCAGAGAGGAAAGGGTTAAAGGAGGGAGATAGAGAGAGAGATAGAGATAGAATAGATAGATAGATAGATAGATAATAGAGAGAGAGAGAGAGAGAGAGAGAGAGAGAGAGAGAGAGAGAGAGAGTGAAAGCGAAAGTAAAATGGAAGGCAACGATACGAGAATAATAATAACAATAAAAATATACAGAAAGAAAGAAAGAAGAAAGAAACGAAGAAAAAAAAAACTAGAAAATCACTGAATGTTATCATCTCGCTTACGGAAAACATCCTTACATATTCGACCCATAACCAAACATGGAGTTGAAAGAGATGACCCTGAACCCGGGCTTGATGAGGACGGAGTAGTAGCCAGCGTGGAGCACCGTCGAGTCGTTGAAGGAGGGGATCAGGTGCGCCCACTGAGCGGCCAGCTCCTCGTACAGCCAGTCCGCCGAGAGCTCCTCGGGGGCGTCGCCGGGATTGGAGTACCTGGGGGCGGGGGGAGCTTGGAAGAAAAAACTCTCTCACAACACGCATATATGTCTCTCTTTTCTCCCCCCCCCTCTCTCTATATCTCTTTCTGTCTCTATCTCTTTCTTTCTCTCTCTCTCTCTTTCTCTCTCTCTCATCTCTCTCTCTCTCTTCTCTCTCTCTCTCTCTCTCTCTCTCTCTCTCTTCTCTCTCGTCTCTCTCTCTCTCTTCTCTCTTCTATCTCTTTCTCTCCTTCTCCCTCCTCTCTCTCCTCTCTCTCCTCTCATCTCTCGCTCTCTCCTTCCTCTTCCTCCTCATCTCTCTCTCTCTCTCTCTCTCTCTATATATATATATTTATAATATTATATATATAATATATATATTATATATATACATCATTATATTTATACATCTCATTCATGCTTCTATACGCATCTCAGAACCACAGGAAAGTATTTGTTCATGTAATACAAGTCTGAGATGAAATAACCTGTATTATGTAACTTTTTTTTTTTTTTTTCTTTCTTTCCCTTTCAGCTTTTCCCTTCGGTATCCGCGTATTTCTGTTTCTCTCTTTTCGCAAGTGTCTGCCGATACCATTCAGCACTATAATCGAGCAAAATAAAAAGAAAAAAAATACGCGAGGACTGACTGGTCGAGCGGACTCATCTCGTGGTTGCCGACGACCGGGAAGACTGGGACATCCGGGAACCACTTCCTGACGAGGGCGTTGGTCTCCCGCACCAGCCGCAGGTTCCACTCGCGCGACGTCGACCACATGTTGTGAGGCACCACGTCGCCCGTCCACATCACGTAGTCCAGGTCCTTTGGGGGAGCGTGAGGGGGTGATGAAGAGGAAGGAGGAGAAGAGGAAAGACGAGGGGCAAGGAGGAGGGAGGAGAATGGAGAAGAGGAAGACGAGGGGGCAAGAGGAGGGAGAATGGAGAGAGGAAGACGAAGGGGCAAAGAGGAGGAGACATGAGAAGTAGGGGACGGGAGTGGTGTGTTTTCGAGTTCCACGGTCCAGGTCCTTTGGGAGCGTCCATGAGGAGGGAAGAAGGAGAGTGAGGGGGTGATGAAAGAGGAGGAGAAATGGAGAAGAGGAAAGACGAGGGGCAAGGAGGAGGAGAAATGGAGAAGAGGAAAGACGAGGGGCAAGGAGGAGGAGACATGGAGAAGAGGGAAACGAGGGGCAAGGCAGGAGAAATGGAGAAGTAGAAAAACGAGTGTGTGTTTCCGAGTACTAGGTCTTAGGGCGGAGCGTCGCATGAGGAAAGGAAGATGAGAGGGGTGAGGATGAAGAGGAGGAGAAATGGAGAGAGGAATAGACGAGAAGGAGGAGGAAATGGAGAAGAGGAAAGGACGCAGGGGCAAAGGAGCAATGGAAGAAGAGGAAGACGAGGGGCAGAAGGAGGAGGAGACATGGAGAATGGAGAGAGGAAAGAGGAAGGGGCAAGGAGGAGGAGAAAATGAAGAAGAGGAAAACGAGGCCAAAGAGGAGAAATGGAGAAGAGGAGGACGAGGGGCCAAGGAGGAGAGAGATGGAGAAGAGGAAAGACGAGGAGACAAGGAGGAGGAGAAATGAGAGAAGAGGAAAGACGAGGGCCGAGGAAGGAGGAGAAATGGAGAAGAGGAAGGAACGAGGGGCAAGGAGGAGAGAAATGGGAGAAGAGGAAAGACGAAGGGCAAGGAGGAGAGAGATGGAGAAGAGGAAGACGAGGGGACGAGGAGGAAAGGAGAGAGAAAGAGGGGGCAAGGAGGAGGAGACATGGAGAATGGAGAAGAGGAAAAGACGAGGGCGGGCAAGGAGGAGGAGAGATGGAGAAAAAGGAAAGACGCGGAGCAAAGGAGGAGGAGAAATGAAGAAGAGGAAAGACGAGGGCCAAGGAGGAGGAGACATGGAGAACGAGGAAGGACGCAGGGGCAAGGAGGAGGAGAGATGGAGAAGGGAAAGACGATGGGGCAGGAGGGAGGAGAAATGGAGAAGGGAAGTACGAGGGGCAAGGAGAGGAGAGATGGAAGAAAGAGAAAGACGAGGAGCAAGGAGGAGGAGAGATGGAGAGAGGAAAAGACGAGGTCCAAGGAGGAGGAGAGAATGGAGAAGAAGGAAAGACGAGGGGCCAGGAGGAGGAGCGATGGAGGAAGAGGAAAAGACGAGGGCTAAGGAGGAGGAGAAATGGAGAAGAGGAAAGACGAGCGGGCAAGCGGAGGAGGAGAAATGGAGAAGCAAGGACAAGAACGAGCGGGCCAAGGAGGAGGAGACATGGAGAAATAGGACAACGAGTGTTGTCGGCTTTTCCGAGGAGTTCCCAACAAATTAGGATCCTCAGAGGCGTACCATTGAGGAAAAAAGAGGAGAGAGAAAGGGCGAATAAAGAGGAAGGACAGAGGGAAAAACCGAGGGTGAGGGCGTGTTTATCAGAGTTCCGCACGTATGCCACAGCCCATGAAGGCGGTAGTGAGGGAGAAAAAAATGGAGAGAAGGCGAGGAGTAAAGCGCAACTGGAGTGGTTATGAGTTGAGACCCTCTAGAAGGGGGGCCTAATGAAGGACAGGAATGAGGGAACGGAGGATACGGCCGACAGGGGAATAAGAGTAAAGAGGATTGAGTTTTATGAAGCACATAGTCGGTCTCGAGTGGACAGCCTTTGTAGGAGGGATGAAGAAGAGAGAGAGAGACGAGAGACCAGAGAGAGAGAGAGAGAGAGAGAGAGGGAGAGAGAGAGAGAGAGAGAGCAGAGAGAGAGAGAGAGAGACAGAGAGAAGAGAGAGAGAGAGAGAGAGAGAGAAGAGGAGAGACGAGACAGACAAGAACAGAGGACAGAGAGGAGAGAAGAGAGAAGAGGGAGAGAGAGAGAGAGAGCGAGAGAGATTAAATAGGATCGTGAGGGTAAACTGAGGTCTAGGCCCCATAAGGTTTTGAAAGATGGCAGGGATGAAAGCCCAACCTCGTGGGCATATCTAAAAAGGAGGTGTCCATGAATAGAGAAATCCGTACGACGAGTCTCATGTTTTACTACTCTTCTTGGTTACCCGAAGAAAACGAAACAAAAGGGAAAACGACACACGAACAACATTGTAAGCATATTCAAGGGATACAAAAAAAAAAAAAAAAAAAAAAAAAAAAAAAAAAAAAAAAAAAAAAAAAGAAAAAAAGAAACGAAAAAAAAGAAAAAAGAAAGGAAAGAAAAGAAAAGAAAAGAAGAAGAAGAAAGAAATAAAAGAAAAGAAAGAAAAGAAAAAAGAAAAGAAAGAAAAAAGAAAAGAAAAGCAAAAAGAAAAGAAAAGAAAAGAAAAAGAAAACGAAAAGAAAAAAAGAAAAGAAAAGAAAGAAGCAAAGCAAAGCAAAGCAAAGCAAAGCAAAGAAAGAAAAAAAAGAAAAGAAAAGAAAAGAAAAGAAGAAAAGCAAAAGCAAAGCAAAGCAAAGAAAAGAAAAGAAAAGAAAAGAAAAGCAAAGGAAAGAAAAGAACGAGGAGACACATACGGTGTGCGTGTTGCGTGCGTGGGCCAGCATGTCCTCCAGCATCCACGCCGGCGACCCACAGTTCCGGTAGTCGCCCCAGTACCACGCCCTGTCCTCCTCGGTCTCGGCGAGTCCTGGTGGCGAAGGCAGTAGTTTAAAGACTATACTACTTAAAAACACAACATAGGAACTTTATCTAAGTTTGAAGATATCAAGTATTGAAACCTTTCGCTAAACAAACACACACACACAAAAAATTATGCATTGTCCCCGTATCGATTCATTCGGGATGACCTTTGACCTCTCTGTGACGTCTTTAGCTCCGCCTCCTTTCTTGATCCCAACACTTTCTGCGATACTTTATGGTAAGTGCTTCTCAATACAAATGGTGCAGTAATAGAAAAAAAAACGAAAAAGAAACAACAACAACAACAACAAAATGGAAATACAAAACCAATGTTTAATATATGCAATGGATAAGGCTGATAGGCTGGGCATGGCTCAGAATTTGCCAACTATGTACCAAGATAGAGCTCATACCTAGTTATACTTTCCTTGGGTACACCTACTGCTGGCTGGGCGGGGGAGATGGTCACTGTCTCCAGCCGATTCCAACCTTCGGTAGTGGAGGTTCGTCCTGCTGGCGAGCGTATGATGGCCTCGAGACTGAAGCAAGCTTTTGGCTTTGTATCTCTTATTCCTGTGTTTACTCCTGCCGTCCTGTGCCAAACTTACATCTGTGGCAGACAAGTGTCCTCTGTGAAACATTTGCATTGTACTAGGCGGTTTACACGTGGTATCCAGCTGTCTTTGAGCTGGCTATGAGACTGTCCCCGTAGCTCGGGAGCTGATCTCAGTAACGAGAACTGCTAAAGGCTGGGAGTGACCCCATGGCATAGGGCTTGCATACTGTCGTGACTGCCATCTGCC